ATGTGCTTCCTAATATAGACATCAAAATTTAGTATGCTTACAGCTCTCTTTATGCATTGGGAGGGCTGATCCTCATGCCATTGATCTCAAGATAATAGCTACTTCTCACCTTTTGGTAGCCACATCTCTCTGTAAGCACTTAGTCATATTTCTGACATCACACACTTAAGGAATAGGCAGCTAAGCCATTGAACAACAGAGTTGGTGTATTTCTTAGAATGCAATCTTGATACACTAATTAACTGCAGTTTACTCTTCTACAGACAGCTCTGTGCTCCACACTGAGCAATTACATAAGAAGTGTTAAGAAATTGCTTTCCAGTCTGTACTGTGAGCCCAGGCAGTAACACCCAGCTGCTGAATCTAGCTGTATCCTGGTTTGTTATTTTGAGGTGGAAGTTCAACCCGTGTAATTTCTTCTGATAAAATGGGGAAGGAAAGCAAGGTGTATGGACCAGAAGAGATACGCCCTTATCTAATTTACACAAGGGAACAGCCCTGCAATGATCATTACATCTTTGTCTCAGAAGTAAATAAGATGAAGCCTGCCTAGTTAGCTTTAAATTTGTTGTTGACACATTAATTGGCCTTTTAAATAATTGGCCTTTTATCCTATTAAGGATAGTTCCTTACTGACGAGGGAATTAATTGATTTTGCATGATTTGCTAGTTGCTAGAAATTTTATTACACCATAAGCTATATGTAAGCTATCCACACATTCATGCTCCTCTTAATGTACTTCATCATTTGCACAAGAAATTTTTATACTCAACTACCTCCTTATGACCCAGGGAATGAGCAATACAAATGGAGTAAACAAAGAGAGCAAGACGGATCTCACTAGTTCATTTATCAGAGCAAATGAAAACCAGCTTCCCAAATCTTTAGGAATATATGTTCTCAGAGTTAGCTATCATTTCACCATTTCCCTACATCTCTTTCTGTGACTGTCTTCAAAGCCCTTCTAGATGAGAATAAATCTCTTCACAGGCGGTGTTTGCCTCTCTATCAACACTTCCACAGTATAGGAGGAAATAAAAATTTGGTTTGCCTTGAGAATATTTTACTCACATATCTCTGACAACTGTCTTAAGGCATTTGGTATTTATGCGGACACATTTTGTAGATATATATATGCATACTGCATAAAATGCAGATGAGATTAAGTAAGAGCATAATTGAATCTCAAAATCTATTTCTTCCGAATTTCAAATGACAAAGAATGCCAACTTTCCCATTTTTTCTACTTCTGCCTAAAAACTCATTTTGTTTCTTTTTAAGTTTTAGAAAAAAAGATATGTTTCAAATCTCTTTAAAAAATGAATTCCCTAAAACAATTCCCAGAAATTTTTAACTACAGTGCAGTAACATTATGTTTAAAAACATTGTTTAAAAACATAAAGCATTAATAAAATCAAATCAAAATAAAAACACTTCATAATTATTTCCCTGTGAAACAAGGTAAACAAGTTAACTTTAGAAATGCATAAAACTAAAAACGTATTCCCTTACACGTTAATTAGTAGTTTTTGCTTTTCTAGGAGAATAATTTAGTAATTTTAGAAGGCTCACAAATGACCTTTCTGGATCAAATTTATGTATCAGTAAATGTATATAATCTTTGGAGCTTAGAATCATAGAATCACAGAATTATCAAGGTTGGAAAAAGACCTCTATGATCATCCAATCTAACCATCCACCTGTCACTATTTCCCACTAAACCATGTCCCCACTATCCCAGCCACTACCAGTTCCAGAAAGCCTACAAGACAAGAAAAAAGGACACCAAATTGTGTTTAACTAATGCGCATCTAAAGCTTAAAAAATGTAACCTTTTTTTTTTAAATGTAATTTTTTTAATTTTGTTTTGAGGTCTTTAAGAGGAAAAAAAGAAAGGTTATAAAAGTTTTGGATTCCTTAAGCATGAATTCTGTGAAGCAGGTTGCAAGAAACACTATTCTTGTTGTTCTAGATAGCTGTAGGTAGGACTCTTCATAAAAATGCGCATGTCACACATCCTCATGACTTTCTGTATGTGGTTTTTGTTTGTGATGGACTGTTGAAATTACATAGGTAGTACCCACTTAAAATGAAATTCCTATATGGTAGCCAGGTTCCTTTCTGCATGCTATATTAACAAGACCATGCATTTGTATAGGTATCAGTGGCTTAAAAAATGGGTCAAGCTGATTTTGATCAAGTCAGTGCTTCCAGACCTGAAGCTCTATTGTGGGGCATGGATGATACTGCTGGCATGCTTAATTAGAAGTGTTGAAAGAAATACTAAAAACAAAGATGGATGATAATTAGCACAAAATGCAACAGGATTGTGAAAAGCACCACAAGATAAATCATTCTAGTGGTTGTTACCCTTTTTTTCCTCACCATAAAGCTGCCTTGTTTCCTTCACAGGAAACTTTAATGAATACAAGCAAGAGCTGTTTTTTATTCTCTCCTTTTCCTACTGTAGTATGTCCTATTCTTTAAATTTGCTTCTTCATTTCTGTTCCTCATGTTTTCTCAAGCAGTGCTATCAGGGAACTTCCTTGCACCTCTTTAAAAATGTTCCTGGTGACCAACCGGTTCTGTGAACTGTTTTAGCCATAAAGAACACACCCCATATGTGTTTGTTCTGATTTATCTTCCTATGTACTGCTCTACTTTTGTACTTCGTACTTTAAACTGGGGCAGGGAATATTTGTTGTATAAATATATAAATAATGTCACGAAGACCAAAGTTGGCATGTAGAGGTTTTTCTCCCCCAACCCCCTCCCCCCCCTTTTTTTTTTTTAATTTTAATTGTTGCATTGTGTATATCAAAATATGTGGCTGTAGAAGTTATTTCTATTCTTAGGGATAACACAAAGGATAATCAAACATCCTATGCTGGGGAAATAGACATGTTTTTAAATTGCATTTTTCATACATTTTTTTTCCTTTCTCTAACAGAAGCAAAACATGTTTTATGGAACTGACCAACATACTATATTACATGAAGTAGTTTTACTGTTCTGTTTTTCATATTTAATAAGCATGAAGCACGAATATCCTGGTTTACAGAAATTATTGTAACTAGTTAGAAATGACCTATGGAAATCAGCTATGTTGTTGGCTCAAGGTTAGACAGTTAATGAATATTCCAATTAAAAGATAAACGAGGATATGTAATTCTTAAATTGTCCTTAATTTAATGTGCATGGTTGTGCTTTTACTCAGCTTAATCATTTTAAATGTGCTTATTTTAGTCACCTGCATGAGTTGATGCATTTATTCAACTTCCAACTACGAAGGAGAACTTTATGGAGAATTAACCTATATAATCATGTTTAAGTTATATATGAAGTAAACCTTCCTCCTACTCTGCAATTATAAAATTGTTTGTACATCCGTCTGTAAGTGAAGATATTTACTTAGGCACTAAATTATATTCTAGATTTGCGGACCCTAAGTGCCTTCATTTTTTGAGCTAAATTTGTAGGTGAATAACCACTGACAAATGAGTTTCTCACACAGACTTCATTGTTTTTGGTCATGACTAACTTCCTGTGCATGCGCATTTGACAAGTGGATGGCTGCCTACAGTAAATTATAGCCTATATTAATCTAAGACATATACATGGAACTGATGATGTCACACTCTTGTCAGTTCACAGTGTGAAACATCCTACTTTTTAATTTGTCAGAATATTTCAGAAGTGAAAGATGGAGAATCATGTGTTGTTAAATCGTAAGGAAGATCTAAAGGAATGAGAAAGGAAAATGAACAATGTTTCTCTTATTGTGGAAACCTTAATGTGTGATTCCAAGAATAAACAATAACCTTGGACAAATACAAAAGGTAAAGTATTATTAAATCAGAACATTTTTTAAAATACATATTTCTCAATTGATTTTCTAGATCTTATCTCAGATACAGCTTGCGTTACATGTCCAGGTATATTTTGTTGTTGTTTCTTTTCAGAGAGGCATTCAAATTCAGTGACTCAGATGCCTTTATCCACAGAATTTTGTAAAAAAACAAGCTTTTCACTTTCATATCCTGAGCTCTCCTGTCCAGCTGACACATTCCAAACGACTATTTGGTTTCAAGTTCCACGCTGCACTCTACCAAATTTTTTTTTCTGAGCAGATCAAGGCTACAACACTTTGTAAGCATTTTCATAAGAATGATAACATCCAATCAGAACATTATATATGGTAGAACACAAGCCAACCACAACGTTGTTAACCTTGAAAGTTGGCCTTTCCTATAGAGCTTAGGTCTCTTAACTGTAGCCTAAATTTAAAAAAACAAAACAAAAAACAAAACAATTTCAACTGAGAAATAGATTTCACCTGGTGAAAGGAATGAGGCTTCTTTGTAGAGTTAGCCAAATAATATCAAAGAACTAGTTACAGTCTGAAAATAAATTTTACTCTTGTTGAATGTGCTCTGTTTTAGCAAGTGCTCTTAAGTGATGTGCTTCAATTAGTCACGATGTTGAAATGGCCTATATTAAAAACTCAGGTTATATACTTGCTTCAGTGGTGAAGAAAACATGGAGCTTGGATGAAAGAGTTTTCCTATAGTATCACAGTTATCCTGTAGTATATATTAGACTTATTCCCTAGTACAGGTCAGCTGAATCTCTCAGGTAGCTAAAATGTTCTAAAGCATTCATATAAACAGACTGGTCTCATGTAGGTGGAGCTCTATTGCCTTAGGTGCCACATTATTACACCTACGTGGGATTTCATTGGGCTTTGAAAGGAGAATGTTGTCTGCTATAACTCCACACGGTGCCATACATCTTGGATAGATGACGTAAAGAAGCCACTGCACGTACATTTAATTGTCTATACATATGCAATTAGGTGGTAATATTTTGGACAGCTGTGCTTACCAGTCTAATAATCCACGTTTTGTCACATGGCATAACTCTCCATGGTTTGTACAGATTAAGTGCATTTCAGTGTCAATTACTGAAGCATGAGTATGTGAGAAGAGATAATGCTTACCAAGTTAATTTGTATAGTGCTTTCCCAGTCCTTCTCATTGTTCACTCCAGCATTATTAACCACAATATCCAGCCTTCCAAAATGCTCAATTACTTTTTTGAAAGCACCTATAGTAAAATCCAAAGGTGACATTTCTTAGCACTTTTCACTCAGTTATACAATGCCCGATAACATGAGCAAATGAAAGTTCTTAGCACTCATACATTTTGCATTAGGTTGGATATATAGCACCTAATTATATAAACATTTATGGCTTGATCCTGTATGACTTTGATGTAATAAATTCCAGAACTGTCCCCATATATTTTAAGTATAAAATAAAGGCTTTATTTGTTCAGAATGGTTTTATTGACTGGCCTGAATTTAACTAATTTTAAGAATGCACTTCTTATTCAGTGATGTAACTAATACAGATTTTTCAGGTACAAAGTATTCTTGATTAATTTTACTTTTTTTTTTTTAATTTATTAATAGTTTTTTATGCATCGGGTAACAATAATGACTTGTCTGTCAAATTCACATATTCTTTGTTCTAGTGGTAAAAATAAAGACATGTCTTCCAAGGAAGCTGAAAATAAGAACAGGGAAACTTCCACAGTGGCACTGTGTTGAACTAAGATAAAAGATGTGTAAGGCAATGATGTCATAGTGATGAGCAAACTCATCTAGGCTGGCCCTGCTTTGACACCATAGTTGGATGAGATGACCTCCAAATGTTTGTTCCAAACTAAGTTTTTCCGTGGCTGCAGACCTGAAGTTATACAGTTTCTTCACAGGTTGTTCTTTCCTCCATAAATGGATACACATCACTTATCTTTTATTATTATGCAAAATACCACTCCCTCAAATATTGTTTTTAAAAAACGTCAGTTAATGACTGACTGAAAATCTTGATTATTTCAGGTATATTGAAATTATGCTTGAAAGGCCTTAATGAATGAAACTACTTTCCTAAAAGCTGATACCATGACACTGAATTCTCTGGTCTTTCATATTTGGCTACTAGCATCAATCAAGGGTACAGCTGCAGCTTTGAAATAAACATTTCTATGTTTTCGTTTTGTTTTCCAACAATTGCAAGAGTTTACAATGTTACTTTTATTTTGTTTTGATTTTACCATATGGTTGGTACTCCGACAGTGTTTTCTTAATAGATCTGAATGCTGCTGCAAGTTTGTCACAGTCATCATCTTGACATCAGAACAAGAGCTTGGCAGCTGTTGGAAAAGGTTTTATCCATCCAGTTGCTCTTACTGTACAGATTTTTCAGTGTTCTTAATCTGTACTATGGTTTTTCATACTTTTAAAACCTCTCTTTTCTGCCTTGTTGATCACTAAGATCACTGTAAACTAACTTGTTCTTCCCTTTTTGGATGTAAAATAACTTTGTGTTTACACTGCAGAGTAGTTGCTTAGAGCTTATTAAATCATAAAAAAGAAAAACCAATGATCATACAAAATGCTAATCATTAAAATGAAAGAGAGGATCAATTTTAACAAGTAAGAAAAACAGTGGAAAGTAAGTCTAAACACCAACCACAAATGAGCTTCCTAAATTTTCACGGTAAGCAAAAATAAATGTATGGTCATTTTTTTAAACTGAAGGCGAAGATATACGTAAGAAAGCTACCGCAGGAAAAAGCAAGGAAAGATTTGGATACGGACAAAGTAATGGATTCCCTGCACATGAGCATTATGTACCTACAGATACTTGTTCTAGTCTTGTAATTTGCTTCATTTTGTAAGAGTTCAAGTAGGAATAAAATTATTAAAAATGTGACATTGAATGTAAAAAGCAGATATAGGACATGACACATCCACTAAGTACTTAAAACTCTGAGTGAAATTAGGCTTATTATGCAGCAGTTTTCAATTGCAAGTGAAGAAACCCACAAAGATAATAATGCTGCATTAGAGAAGCATAGCAACTCCTTGCCCTTGATCCTTGCCATCCCTCCATTCCTATTCTGATTGCTCTTTTCCTGCTAACTTGGTTGCAGAATTTCCCTCTCTATGCCATCCTGCTCCTTCCAGTTCCGAGTGCTCTGCCTGCAGGCCGTGCACTAGCCTGGTGTAAAAAAGTAGAGGAACTATGGGATCAGGGTAAGAGAAAGCAAGCTGAAGTAAAAGCTGTGCTGCAGCACATGCTATTCCTACTCCTAAGAGGCTTATTCTTCTCCTGAGTTACTCCTTTCACTTGGAGAAAAAATCAGTTATTAGCTTAGCTGATAAATAGTATGTTTGCTGGTTAGTGCATCTCCCACATTTATTGTCCAGCATCTCCAATGGAAAACATTTAAATCAGGCATAATGACACTATCTGGGAGCTAAGAATAATACTGCTGAGCTATGGACAAGCTACAGTATTTGTAAAAAGAATGATTGTGTTTCACCTCCACTGTTGAGACAAGAACAAGAGCAGTGCGGTGTGTAAAAGCAGAAGTAAAGGGTACGCATCCAACATGACACAAATGAACCTGGAAAGGACACTGACAAAAGTGACGTCAAACTCTGTATCTGACTGACTCATTACCTGTGAATGTTTCTCTTAAGAATGGAACTTCAATGAAGTGATGCAGTAGTTATGAAATATTGTGTAGAGTACATCAACACTATAAGCTATTTTAAGAACTCACTAGGGTGCAGGATTTATTCGCTACATTAAAAAAAAAAAAAAGGTGATCATAAATCCAGGCAATAAATAATGGCAATCATACTGGAGAAAAGCTCCTTCCCATGACCTGCATATGCAAGACACATGCAGAATTCTATCAATCTGTATCAAAAACCAGGCTGAAGTGCTGCGTTATCTTTTGTCAACTCTTCTTTCAGCTCCAGCAGCGTATGTTGGACATAAGCATGCCATATGGAAAGATCACTGCAACCTGGAGCAGAATTTATTGCTCCTGTGATGAGAGAATGCAGCTTGGATTCTGTACCGAAGCCTCATAAAAAGCATGTCCGTGCTTTAAAGCTCATATATATTACTCATAAAATAACAAGTATCTTCTGCAGAGGCTTCCATGGAAAAATATCACACGACACTCAATGGAAATAACTTCTTTGGCTTTTCTTTACGATGTGCCAAGTAACACAGTGAAATGCACGTGCGCTGGTAATAATATTTCACGTCCGCAGGTTCAGAAACAAATCCTTTTTGAGCCACGGTCGGGCTGAGAACAGGCTGCCCTCCAGAACCCCGAATTGCACACATCGGAGCGGCAGCCCGGACTCCGTCAGGTCGCTGCATGTCGAGCCGGAGCCGGGCCGGCAGTTTCCTCCTTACCTTTCAGTTGCTCCGTATCCGTAACGTCGCACTGGATGAACACCGTCCTCTGCGCTTCGAACTGTTCGTCCAGGGCCGCCTTGCTCTGCTGCCCGGCCTCGGGGTTGCGGTCCAGGAGCGCTACCTGCCCGGGAACGGAGGGAGGAACGAAGAGGCTGAGCGGGGCCGCGCCGAGATGGGGGCTGCCGGCTCCCGGAGAGAGGGAATCGGCGGCGCGGGGCTTGCTTACCTTGGCTCCCTTGCCCAGCAGCGCCTGGACGAAGGCTCGGCCGATGCCCTGAGCCCCGCCGGTGACCAGAGCCACCTTGCCATTGACGTGCATGGCGCTGCCCGCCCGCGAGGCGTAGAGGAGCCGTCTCCCGCCTAGCCGGAGGAACAGAGCGCGGTGTCACCTGCCCCAAGTTTCCTCCCTCCGTCGCTCCCTCCCTCCTGCCCTCCCTCCTGCCCTCTTCTTCCTCCTCCTCCTCCTCCTCCAGCCGGTGCAGCCGCGACTCATTCCCCCTCGCGCCCCTCGCGTCCGACCCAGCGCCGAGAGCTGCCCGCGGCGGGGGGGGGGAGGAACGGGGGTGGAGCGGGTCGTGCCCCTCTCACGCCTTCTCCGGGTGCTTGCGTGAACCCCGGGTTCGAGAGCGGGCGAGCAGAGCGGCTCCCCCGGAGGGTCTCGGCAGCCGCCTCGGGAGCGCGGGGAGCGACGCGGCACAGCTCGAGCTTCGCGGAGGACTGCTTACGTCTCCGGGCCGTGAGTGCTTTGCTTGGCCCGAGCTGCGTGAGCGGCGGGGGAAAACAAACTCTCTCTCGGAGAAAACAAACAGAGCCTCTTCTCACCCCGCTGGTGGGCCCATCGGTGCTCTCCCCTCAGCCAGCAGGGAGACTCGAAGGAAAACACAGTGACTAAACGCTGGGAACGTATGGAGATAACAGCTTTCTAGACATGGTCAGACCTGCAGCTTGTGCTTTAAAAATTATTTAACTTCTTGTACAGCTGGGAAACCAGATCCTGCTATAACACAAGTTGTATCTGATTAAAAACAAATCTATCAACACCAAGTAACATATATCAATGTACATTACGAACAAGAAAAACCTTAGCAATCTAATAGCTGAAATCAAGTTTCTTGCTCCTTGGTATTTTACTGGAGGTTCATGAACATTATCCAACAGAAAGCACAATACGATGCAGTGTTGGGTAGATGGGAAAAATTCATCATTCTTAAGCTTCAGCTCCATAAACATACATATGTTGCGTATGCATGTGTGCGTATTAAGACTAGCTTTTCTTTTGGGGTCTGTTTTCTTTTGCATGGTGTACCAAGTTTGAACTTTTCACTTGTGTTTTCAAGGCCCTTAAGTACTCTGACTCAGACTGCATCTCTCCCATCACCCTCTGCACAGTCTGCCCTTACCTCCCAGTGACAGTATATCTATTTTGTTTCTCCTCCCCATTTTCTACTACACAGCCTTCATAATGGATGCCCGTCTTTCATTTTTTTACATAGAAGAAACAAATTATATTACTCCTAACACCAGCAAACTGTTACAGAACCATTAAGGTAACAATGTTACTTAATTGAGTAAATTGAGTAACGCAAGGACTTGTTATTATAACCTTTGTCCTTAAGAATGTGAACTAATGTAATCCAGCTGCTAAATTGGACAGCAGCCATTTAATTTTCCTAAAGATCATGATTCACGGTGCTTCACAAAAGCAGTCAGAGCTGGCCTCTGGGATTAGTGATTTTCTTGACTGTGACACTTGTATTTCTGGGAGGATGCCAGATTACATTGTGCCACCTAAACTGCCCTGCCTCACAAGGCCTTTCCCAACCAGCTGAGCCAGCTTCCCTAATTTGCTCAGAGGCGAGGACAGTGCCTGGTCGAAGCACATCGGGAGAACAGTGTTACCACATATGGACTTAATAGCATTGTAGTTAGAGTCTATCACCCTGAAGACAACCCTGACAGCTTCCCCCTATCCTAAACCTTAGGCCATCTGCCATGGTGTTGATTTTCATAATGTACCAATATCATTTTAAAGTGCTACGCAAAGGAAAAGATCAATGGAAAGCAAAATAAAAAACAAAACAAACAAACAAACAAAAAAACAACCAAAAAACAACCAACAAACCATGAGTTTTCAAACTGTTGAAGTCAGAATGACCTTTGGCAGCTATTTTCTAAACTGTTGATAACTTCTGCATGAATGTTGAGAGCAAGATGAACTCTTCAGCGGTGCTGGAGTGCTTTAAGATTTGAGTGCATACTCCGTGTCAAACAAATCTTTCAAGTCAGTGCCCCAGCAGGTGGATTGGTTGGATATAATCCTGGGCATGAGAGGTTGAAATTGTTTAAAAATATTATAATAAACTAACTCAGGGTTTCTAAATATGTTTGTTCACCGAATGAAAGAATGGAAAGGGTCCGTTATCATTCTCACACAAGAAGACAGAAAAAGTGTTCCACATCAATACTCATAAACTTGGCAAAATATATTTCAAATTAGAGACACATTCTTAGCTAGCAGAGTGTCAATTCATCCAAATACAGGGGGAAATACCCGAGAGATGACATGCTGATTTACTCGTAGGCCCAGTAGAAATGGTGTGGCTGTAAGGGATGTGTACACTCTGCTTCTTCAGACTGGATTTGCTACTAACTCATTGCACTGACTCTGAAAAACTTCATCGTGACAAAGCCCTTTACTAACACAGGTCTGTAATATGATCAACTGCATAAAAATTAAATGTTACCCATAGAAAAAGATTTTTATAGACAATTGCATTGTTAGAAATCCAGAGTTAGCATCTCTTCACATATTCTCGATGAAATTTTGGTGGGAAGATATTTTCTACATGATCCATTTGGCAGACTTTGAACCTTGTCTTCAATGTTCATGAAAGAATAAAGAAGCATAAGAACTTCCATGTTTTAGTGGTCCTTATTTTCACATAATCTGTCCATGAGAAAAACCCATATCAGACTTCACAGAATAACTTGGAAGAGCTGCCTCAAAAGGCTACAATGAATGCTGTATTCCCGAGAAGTCCCAAGAAATATCCCAAGAAGACCCAAATATCCCAAGAAGTTGGATTGCAGAGACTAAGCACATACAATTGGTATCTTTGAAATATGTGATGGAAACCTATCTGCTAATTTAAGAAAACATTAGAGAGTTGAAACTCTTGATGCATTATTTAATGGTAAAGTCATATAAATCATGCTACCTTTACATGTGTGTGTTCTTCTCCCCCCCCCAGTTCCTCTCTCTGGAATGTCCATTAACACTTGCCAGAGAGCTTTGTCATGCAATATGCCAACTGGACTCATAAATGTCACAAACAGCTATTGTCCAAAATCACAAGCATGAAAAGATATTAAATATTTTCAGGAATGTTTGGTTTGGGTGCTTTGAATGACAAGTAATTTCATACTAATAGTCTGCACTTTCTGTTCCAATTTAAGAAGTGTCAAAAACATTAAGAAATGCCTTAGATATTGAAGCTGTTCAGATTAAGATCTCCCACCTATTTCACTAAATGCAATGCCAAATACATATAATAGTGATATGTTACTTGTGTGCAGAATGGGATTTCACTTTATTGTTTCTTAATATAAATTATGGTTAGCAAGTTTTCATTCGTTTTGCTTTCCTTTTGAAGAGATTCCATTGATTTTAATTCGTTTTTTAAGAAGGAGACGGAGGTACGATCTCTCTTTGACTTGTCATTCTGTCACTTTAAATGGTTGTGTGTGTTGTTTTTTTTTTTTTCTCCCTCCAACCCCCAACCCCCAAAGTGACTAACGCCTCATTTCTGTGACCATCTCTATACTCTGCAAGGTGCTATTCAAGTTGCTATGATAACTAGATAAGTGATATTATATTACAGAATGAACTATGAAGCAATTAATGTAAGAGGGCATTCAAGGAAATTTGCACAGCATGAATACTTGAGTATGTCCATTTCCTCACATTCTACTGAGAAGAAAATGTGGAAAACAGAGCTAGAGAATGTCCCACAAGTCTAATAATGTGTGGGTTCATTGAAAGACAAATTTCAAGTCACATACTTAGTGTGGTTTTACCAAATATTCTTCAACAAGGAGCCTTGTTCAGCAAGTGTAACAGTTTTTCATGTCCTAGTTGTTTTTCTGATGCCAGTTCTATATGATCACTCTGTTACACTCTAAGTTTGAAAAGTGGCAATTGCTGCATAACAATATGAGGTTATGCAGCTATGCTTTATTTCAAATATTATAACTAGCAATATACAGAATAATTCAAGACAGATACACTGGTTGCCAGAGGTGTCCAACTCACTTACAGGACAAGAAACTGACTTAACAACAGGCTCAGATATTTGCCAAAAGGCATACTTACAGCACAAAACCATATCAGCCCATGATGACTCAGAGGCTGGAATATTTTGTTCATCCAGGACAACAGCAGTACAGGCACAAAATTTTCTTATATTCGGGGACAAGAAGAGAACAGACATTACATCAAAGATGAGTACAAGAAACTAGCTGTGAAAAATCTGCTACCAAAGGTCATACTGTACAAGCTGTTGAAGATGTCAAAACCTTTACGGTAAGATTTGGAGGTAAACATTAAAACTGCTGCTCAAGTACTGCAGGCAGACTGTGGGAGTAAGCATAACATATTTTATGGAAATATGATAAATAGCAATTGAAAGCAGGATTAACAGAATAGAAATGGAAGTCAATGCTTTATCAGAATATGAGAATAAGAAGGGCTGGTTTCTCAGCAGAAAGAGGGTCAGAAATTAAAGACTTAGTTCATTTGCATTATGAAGTGGAAAAGAGAAGTCATTGGGTACATTCAAAAAGGGAATGAAATCTTGTACAGTGTAATTTCCTGATTTGTAAGAAAGCCTGAAAGTATGCAGTTTGTGTGAAAAGATTTGCCAGACCACGTGAGGAAGATGTTACAGAAAATAAGAGGAAAAGGAAGTAGTGACTGGTTTTTAGATTGCCTTGAACTGACACGATAGAAGAAGAAATAACAAGAGAGCCTTCTGTCACATAGCTGAAACAACAAGAAGTCGGTGGAAACATCCATTATAGCTGAAAGAAAAGTTCTGTGGTAAAGAAAACTATTCAGTTGAAACTACTCAGTGAGGAGGGAAATAACTGCTTAGTAAGTTATGGACAGGGGAATGTAGGGATCCCATCATGGTGGGAGACTTTCAAGCACTCCAGTCCAGCATGCCCTTCTTTGCAATCCCAGCAGCCCAGTTTTACACTCAACACTCTCACGGTTAGTATTTTAAGCGTAGTGAGAGTACATTTTGGGATGGCATAGGCTCCCAGAGGAGTATGAATGTGAGTTTA